TAACCAGTTGTTTCAACATGAAAGCGAACATAACCAACTGTAAATTTTTAAAAAATTTTCATCAAAAAGTTGGATTCGCGGACCGCAAATCTAGTAATACGCGTGATTTTTTCATATATTTAATAAATAGTATTACAATGGAAATTTCAGATTCTACATGTTCGAAATGGCATTGAAATCGAGCTCAATTAAATTTTCCCGAAAAGCTTATTAACTCATTTATTGAAGTTATCACTTTGAATAGTATTAAAATAAAGTTCATTTTCTTCAGAAAGGCATTATTGAAAATTATATAGCATATACTGTAATTAATGCTGAAATTAACGTTTCAGTTAGAATTTATAACAAATGACAAATTTCAAAAATATCTGCGAAGCATTGTTTTACTACCTGTAATCATCCTTCCATTATACCATAAATCTGTCACAACCATTTGATTCATTGTCAATGTCCCTGATTTATCGGCACAGATCACCGTTGCTGCTCCTAATTCATCTAAAGTGAAACTGGTTTCATTTGTAAGCGTAGAAACTTGACGCAACTCTTTTTTTCCATAGCAAAACTTACCAATCAGGTCAAGTTTTTTAATGTAAATGTTTTTTTGAGCCATTCGACGTGCAATAATTCGTAACTGTGACATTACAGTAGCTGGCAATCCTTGAGGTACGTTAGCTACGATAACCACTAAGAAACCAATAACAAAATGATCTAGAACGTTTTCAAACCTGCAAAGAATAATATTAAAGTAATTTTTTTACAAATATTACCTCTTAAACTCACTTAGCAACTATGCATCCTATTAAAAACATGGCCACAGCCATACAAATAGCCAGAATTGTTATAAAATTAGCAAAAGTCCGAAGTTCTGTTTGAAGTTTGCTTTTTATAGGTGGCATATGTGTGTGAAGATTTGCGATTCCGCCCAACACCTGGAAAAAGTAAGACTTTTCCTTTTTTTCTCATTTTACAAGTTTCTGAAAAAGAAAGTCCTAGAGATTTGAAAGTTGAATTGCAGTTCTCCTTTAGAAAGTCGTCAATAAGCTCTTTTTACTAACCAAATTTCTCCCTCAA